AATTTTACAATGTGACATCCTGGATTAGGCATGGAAGAGGGCCAGGTTCGTCACTTGAAAATTCAATTACCTTTTCTCATTGCTGGTAGCATAAAATGAAGGAGAAAATAAATTATACCTCCCACATTGTTTCATTAGGAAGTAAAGGCCAGTAACTGCTAGTTAAAAAGAAGTGGCAACAGATGTTTAGCATCACAATTAAGGTATCACTTAGGATGTTCAAGTACCAGCTCTGCTCCAGATTCTAGCTTCCTACTAACGTGCAATCTGGGGAGCAGCAGATGTGGGATACCTTGACTGATTGCCTGGCTCTGGCTTCTGACTAACCCAGCCCTCACCGTTGTGGACATTTGGCTGCTAAACTAGCAGACTGCAGATTTCTCTCCTTCTGTTTCTCTCTTCCCCTTCTCTCCCTTTCAGATAAATAAAAATAAAAGTGATTGTTCACAGAAAGATTTGAGTGATCAACTGCACTTTGACACTTCACAGAAATGCCTTCATAACAAGCTCAGGATGTCAGAAATAGAGGTGCACTAAGATAAAATCATAATGATGGTATGTCTTTGCTCAGGGTATGTCTTTGTAGGGGAAAAAAAAAGAAAACTGTAAGTTAGACAACAGTCTCATGCACTTGGCACTTGAATCAAACTGACCTTAATGCTTCGTAGTTGCTGTCTGCCGTGATTGACAGACTTCTCCCCTCATCAAAACAACTGCTGATTAAGCACTGACCCTGAAGTTACTCTTTAAGCTGTGTGCTGCCTTGCTTTTAAGGAAAATCCCATCAATTCAGCCAACATGTATTTGTGGTTGGCAAAATTTTTAACTTCCATGAAGAAGTACACATCATCAAAAGTCTGGCAGGGTTAGAGAATACTTATTCATTTTAATACAGCTAATTTTGCCCGACACTTAGTAAATATTCCAGTTCAAAGCTATTATGAAAAAGCTTAGTACGCTGGTGTTCCACAGGGTTCCCAGCTGAGCTGTCACTTAAACCACACCCACACCGCTCAAAAGCACCTCATGCACAAAAATTCAGCTGAGTTCACATTAAATCCCAACAAGCCTGGGGACGTGTAATAGGATGAAAAACCTTGTCCAACTACTCTAAAAGCACTGTCTTCCACACACAATAGGGGAACCTTCTGCACAAAAGCCAGTGGTAACAACCACTCCTTAACCTTAAGTCACTGAAAAGATTAGAGTGGAAGCACTGGCAAGTCAGGAAAAAAGTCAAGGCAAAACAAGTCAGACACCTGCCCTAAACTCCCTAGACACCATGATTACCTGTGAGTGACTATGTCTCTATCAACCCTTCACTCATACACGGTTCCTTCTTCCCATGGCTTTTGTAACTGGCAGCTCTTCTGTGTCACCTTCTGTGACACCTTTTCTGGTTTGAAAAGCAGAGGCAGACAGCTCCCATCTGCCGATTCACTGTGGAAAGGCTAGGGGTGGGTGAGAACCAAGAGTGTGGGTTTGGATCACTTGAGGCATCACTGCTGCTCCCCAGGGTTTGCACTGGCATCATGAGCCACAGCCAGGAACCCAGCACGGGCCCTGGAATGTGGGATGCAGGCAGCTAACGATCAAGGCTAAACACCTGTTCTGCAGCCTAGCTTTTTTTTGTTTTTGTTATTATAGTTGTGCATTAACATGTCTTCTGCATCCCACTAGATTATGGTTTCTTTTAGGTCCTTTTAGAGTCTTCCCCAAACACTCATAAAGTCTGCTTTAAGTCTAAGCAATCAAGCATGAACACTGTGACAACCATACCTACAATCAGTAATTGACTTCCAGAGAAAATTTAACTAATAAAATATATATCACATTGGTATGCAAAGGCAGATTAATTGCACTTTAGCAGGAGGAAACTTATTCTTGGGCACACACACAAAGTTTCTCCTGATTACATGCTTATTGGGAAATACACAGATATTAAAATCAAAGATCCAAGATTCCTTGTGACCTGGCGGCAGATCGCAATGAAGAGGCCAGTGAATGAGGCCTCACGTTTCCCATAAATGACAGCACTGTGGGATGAGCAAACAACGCTTTCAATCCTGTAAAATGTTCCCTTCGGTGCAGCCACAGCTTTACCTAGAGCACTTACAAGAAACTCCCTCCACAGGGATTCCCGAGTCTAAAGCTGCTGATGGCTGTTGCCAAACTGCCCTCAAACGGCAGTAGTTCTGAGGTTCAAGTCCTCAGCAATGTACACTTCGTAGTGCCACCAGCTGCTGCCCTGGGATTGTCCTTCTGTTTGTTTGCTTGATCCTTGCTGCTTGAAAACAATCTTCAACGTCCACGTCTCCTTGTGTCCCTCTAGTCTCCTGCTATCCAGTCTTATCTAAAGCAATCCTCTCTCCCTTCTCGGCCCTTCTTCCATCTGTGCCTGCCCACAGCTCCAGTCTGAGGCTGTCTGGCTGCAGTGCAGACATTCTGCCCAGCTCCTCTTTCATCCCTCTTAGACTCTTACAGCCACAGAAGCAACGGACTAATCTCAGAAACTAATCCCCACTGATGCAAAGGGGCCGGTTCCCAGGAACGTGTATGCAATATAACCTGGGCAATTTAAGCAGAATACATTATCCACAACAACAATGCATTCTGTTCTGAACCATCAGTGGTGCCCAGGTTTTGCTGCAATTGAAAATCAGCCACGGGAGATTTCCTAAAAGCACTGCTAAAAATACTCATGTCCCAGGGATCTGGAGTAAGTTTGATACAAAGTATGACCCAGGCATCAGGATTTTGATGAACACTTCCTAGGAGTTTCCTACGAGGCTGCTGTGTTTGAGACACATTACAGATGCTAAAAGCCTTCCTCTCAGGTAATACTAGGAAAAAAAAAATGGAGAGGGGGCAATGGACATAATCCTGATAATCTGACTCTGCACCAGACAGAGGAGATAAGGAGGGTTAGCGGAGGCATTTGCCAAGGACAGCACAATCAATTAGCATTCACACTGCTTGAAGCAGGCAGGTGCTGCTGTGCTAGGAAGTGGGCCAACACTTAATCTCTGATAGCTTCAGTTGCTTTTGTAAATGAACCGGTCGATGTAGACTACAATAATTAGGGCACAATACTTCAACGATACAAATTGTATTTCATTTAGTGTGTTGTTTCCACAAAATTGGGTGGTTCTACAGATTCCCCTCCACCACCCCCCATCCCTAGCCCACAGGGACTCTTGGGAACAACTTTCAGAATAAGAACATTGAACTACATCACTAAATGTCACAACAATCTCCCCAGGGAGTTTGTCCCCTTCCACAGGGAAGACTTGGGAACAGGAGAAGTGCTAACATGTATGCCTGCCTAGACTATGTTTTCATCTGTTTGAATGATCTTATTGGCCTTTGAGATGTTTTTCAGTTCAGAAGAGGTGGTGAGAGCCTATTCCCGAGCCACTGTTACGTAGGGACACCTGTTCCCTCACCTACCCTCTGACCATCCACATATATGCAACCACCACACATGGCTACCTATATTTTCTGCATAAAAATAAGTTTATCTTCTAATTCCATTTCCCTACAGACTCACTGAAGCACCCTGATACTGTGCAAGGCCCTCCCCATGCACCTGCTCAAACATTATTGTTGCCTATAATCTGTGCAGGGTGATGGTTCTTCCCACTTACATAATGCCTGGGGTGGGGGAGAAAGGGAAGGCAGAACCTCCTGTGTTAAGGCTTCCTGGGTACCAGATCTGTAGAAGGGACCAGCCATCGTCCCACCATTGTTGTCAAGAGCATAGCAAGCTGGAGGCAAGAAGGACATCTGCTGCTTCACACACTTGTCCTCGGAGAGAAAAAGTAACCTTGGAAGCGGAGAAGGTGGATGGATTTAGAAAAAAACAAATCCAGATTGCAAACATGCCACAATATCCTAGATTGGGGTCTCGCGGCACCGCGAAGGCAGCCTCCACACTGTGGAATCTTACACAGAGCGTGAGTGGACAGGGACAATGAATAGTCACCCTCTACGCAAATCATGATGTTTCTTCCGTTCTCTAGCCGTCATTCTTCAAAGAAGGACTTCACAAAAATAACCCGGGATGAAAGCCCAAGGTTGAGGGGAAGGGGGAGAGAAAGTGGCTTTGGAAGGAGGTTATTGAGTTTTCTGATAGAGCATACCGCTCAGAAATACTTGTACAATTAAGCCTGGGCCCTGGCTGCAGAGTGTAATTTACATTTGAGATTCTCTGACATTCAAAATCATGCCTTATGCAGTGGAATAAGCTTGCAACAGTTACAGTGTCTGGTCTCTGGAGGGAGGCACACACCGCGATACAAAACAGGGAAACGAGATCCTTCCAGGTTAAGGTTCAGGTAGAGGTTATCTCCTTGCCAGCCAAGGACAGAAAAAAAAAAAAGTAGGTGCTGCAGGGCAGACCAAGAGCACACATCCAGCGAAGTAGGGCGGCAGTTACTGCCACGTTTCTTGCCATCCTAGCCTCCCGGCCTCCTTTCTGGGTTGGGAGCAGAGGTGCCACGCGTGAACTGCACGACCCACGAGGACCCTCTGGAGCCCAATAGAGTCCTGCCTGCTGCCCCCGCGAGAAGCAGTCCAGGGCCGTGGGGGCCGGCCCGCCCGCGCCCCGTCTGCTTCTAAGTGGCTGTTTTCCCCGGAATCAGGCTCTAAACACGGTTTAACTCACTCTCTGCCGGCCCCTACCGGAGAACGAAAACGAGGGGAAGGCTTAAAGATGGATTCGTTTTAGACGTTGCAAACCAAGGAAGAGGGGGGGCTGCTTAGGAGGAAGGTTAACCTAGAACTTCACTTTCCCAATCACTATTGCCGGCGCCACACATATCCAGCCCGCGGCCAGCAATTTCTCCTGTACATTCCCAGTAGAACCACCTGAGAATGCGCCCACCTCGCCGCGCGCTCGGGAAACCTGCGTCCCCCGCGGATCGAGGTCGGAAGGCTGTTCCCCTTGGAATACCTCCCGAGAGGACCAGGAGCGAAGCAGCGCCCGGCTGCGTCCTCACCACTTGCTGTGCGCCTCGAAAAGTCGCGTCCAGCAGCATCAGCTTCCAGGGGTCGGACACGGCGCCGGGCAACGGGATGTAGACGTAGTAGGCGGCCAGGGCCACCAGCGCGGCGAGCAGCACGCAGGACGACCTCATCCTCCCCGGACTCGGCAGGCCCGCAGGTCCACCAGGGGGAAGGGGTGACGCCACCGAGCACCTTCGGCAAGTTTCTGCCAGCGGCAAGCGGCTCCTTGGCTTGTTTCTTATATGCCCAGGAGCCAATCGCGGACTGCGTCGGGAGGAAGTCGGAGAGCTGACGTGCCCCTAGCGCCAGTCCTTGCCAAGTGTTGCAGGCGCCCAGGCTGAAGCGGGCGCTGGCGCGGTGCGTGGTGCAGCGGGCCCTGCAGGACAGCGGCCTGCATTGCACGCCAGGTGGACGGAGAGCTTCCTCACTGATGCTGTCAGACAGCAGACTCGAATTGTTCCGTTGGGGTGAGGCTCTGTTCAGGGCACATGGATCATTTGGCACAAAGCGGTGATGGTCTTGAGAGAGATTAAAACCCCTCTCTTCCAGAGCCAGATTTGTCCTGTGGTGTAAATTCCAGCTGAGAGGCCATGAAAGAAATCCCTGTTGCTCCAGTAGTGCACTGAGCACTCAGGCCGGTTTCTAAATCCTTTTCTCCTGTGGCAGGAAGCGCAGCCCTTTTCCACAGCTCCTTGGAGAGGCGGGTTCCGGGGCGGGAGGGCGGGGGTAGAGGGGAACAGGCAGGTGCGTTAGGAGAGAAGCCTGCTGTGCCAGAAGAAGGAAGCACTCAGAAAGTTATGGAACCGGTGGGAGCTTGAAGGATCTCCTCAGGGCTAAAGCTGGGGGTAATTTTAGCATCAAAACAAGCTATTTTAACAAGTTACAAACAACCAAAGTCCAGGATTCCAATCCAAATGATTAAATAAATGGACAAACAGGGACGGATCTCTCCACGGTGGAAAGTCAACTGTGAGTCACAGAAAATTCTAACTGCATGCTAGAACTAGAGGGTGAAGGTTTGACATTGGATTTTAATTTCACATCAGACAACCTCTACCCTACTCAGCATTACAAAGTGAAAAATCTTCTATCTTCTGTTTCACACGTATAAGCAACCACATGTGCTGGGCCTGAGCCAGCTGGAGCCGGGAGGCTGAAACACTGGGGTCTTGAATGGCAGTAGCCCAGGCCCTCGGGTCATCTTTCTCTCCTTCCTGGGCACATTATCAGTGAGCTAGGTTAGAAACAATGCTGTGGGGACTGGAGCTGGCATTCTGATCAGAGATGCCAGCACCGCAAGCAGCAGCTTAAACCACCGAAACTGGACACCAGCTGTAATAATTTCAATTTAACCCACAGAAGTGAAATAAGCAAAAAGTCAGAACTGGTGTTGGGATGGCTAGGAGAAAGCTCGCTTCCTGTTCTAAGTTAGAGAAAGGCATTTTTTTACACTTGATCTTAGCCAAATGGCCAAGAAGTGATAAAGGCATTTTTTTTTTATGAAGGACAAATACCAATGATGTTTCTAGTTTAAATTTGAGAAGATGCGTATTTGTGTGTGATTGTCATGTAATTAAAAGCTGATCTTTATGGGTAATTAGAAACAATGTCAGAGATTACAATTTGGGCAAAATTACTTGCTTTCAGTTAATGTGCAAAATAATTGGACATTTCACCTTATAGGCTTAAAAGTTTCCTCCTGGATTTTTAAAAATAAATTTATTTATTTTTATGGGAAAAACAGGTATACAGACAGGAGGAGAGACAGAGAGAAAGATCTTCCATCCACTGGTTCACTCCCCAAGTGACTGCAATGGCCAGAGCTGAGCCATCTAAAGCCAAGAGCCAGGAGCTTCTTCCAGGTCTCCCACGCGGGGGCAGGATCCCAAGGCTTTGGGTTATCTTCAGCTGCTTTTCCAGGTCACAAGTAGGGAGCTGGATGGAAAATTGAACATCCAGGACACGAACTGGCACCTATATAGGTCTAGGAACCTGTAAAGTGGGGATTTAACCACTAGGCTATCACACAGGGCCCTCTCCTGGATTTTGATTACACATTTCGAAGAGCATACATGTTAGAACTAATGCCAAAAAACAAACCAAAGCAAGCCAAACAACACCCAAACTCATAAACCTAGAACCAGCCTTCTCTCTTCAGTCAGCAGCACCAAGCTCAGTTTTATAGAGGACCAGCGCAACTTTATGTCATGATTGCATTCCTCTGGTTTGCCAGTAGTTCCCATATTTACAGTGTCCATGCAATGCAGTTTCTTTTGAGCAGCACACAAAGCGAAACTAAGAAGTGATGAAGAAACCCCAGTCACCCTAGGTCCTCCCTCTGTGGGTCTGAGTTTTCAAAAAGGAGATCTAGTTAAGATACAGGCCTTCTCACCACTCGGTTCTTAAATACCTTTCCAAGGTTTCATTCATTCAACAAACTTTCCTGGCCCACGTTGGGCAAAAGCAGATGGGTGTGGGCGAGACCAGAGCTTTTTCTTGCCTTTGCCTGCTCAGTAGTGGGAAGATAGAATGTAAGGAAAGTACAGAAGGGAGAGTCTTAGCAATGCACATTGAATGCTTGCTGTGCACTTCGAGCTCAAGACATCTCTGTGAGGTACCACTGTCATTCTGAAAGCAGCTGGAGAGAGGGAGCCAGGCGCTTTGCCTGTGGGAAGCGCAGCTGGGAGCCGAGGGCCCTGAGGCTGGGCCTAATACTCAGGACCTGTACCTCTCCACTCCGCTGCTCTGGGACTCAGTGGGCAAAACCAATTGAATGGGGTATGTGACACCTGTGGCCAGGGGTGGTTTGAAGCTAGGAGGGGAGGGAGTGAGACTCCTGGAGGAGATTGTCAGCATCCGAAAGAGGAGACAATGCCTTGGCTGGGAGGAGACACTGAGCAGGACTCTTGGAGACTCAGAGAAGAAGTATGAAGTGCTGGGATGCCCAGGACACGCAGGCTCAGAAGAGGGGGCAGAAGGGTGGGGGGCGTGTAAGGGAGGGAACAGAGGCTCAGTGCAAGAGATGGGTGAGGGACCAGTAGAGCACTGTAAGGATTTCAGATATTCTAGAATTAGATGCTTTATAAATGGAAATGATATGAAGGAATCTATATTTGAAGAATTGTTCCCCCACCAGCTCCTATATTGACACCGAGATCTATGAGATGGTTTATGTGGTAGTCCAGATGAGAGATGCTGGGGGCCTGGAGTGGCATTTAGCAGCGGATTGGAGATAAGAGGAGAGCTTTAGGAGCTGGCCTGGTGGTGTAGCAAGCTAAGCCTCCACTTACAGTGCTGGCATCTCATATGGGCACCGATTCAAGTCCTGACTGCCCCACTTCTGATCCAGCTCCCTGCTGATGGCTTGGGAAAGCAGTGGAGGATGGCCCAAGTGGTTGGACCCCTGCACCCATGTGGACAACTCAGAAGAATTTCCTGGTTCCTGGCTTCAGATCATTCAGATCAGCCCAGTTCTGACATCTCTCTCTCTCTCTCTCTTTTACTGTCTTTCCAATTGAACTAAATAAATCTTTTTTTTTTAAAGGACACATTTAGAGTAGAGATAGTGTAGATTGGGCCTGCTTACACATTGTGAAGCATCATCAAAAGAGAGAACAGTCAATAAAATGCCCTGGTCCGTACATCATATGGCATAGCCCGAGTCATGCAATTGACTTAGGTACTTTTACATGATTACCTCAATTTTTATTATCATCTCCTTAAACTAGGACACCACAAAACCATTGCTTATCAAAATCTTTATTTTTTTTTTTGTTTGAAACATTGCTCAGGGCAGCAGTTTGGTGTGGTTAAGACATCACTTGCGCCTCCGACATTGTGTGGATCCAAGCCTCCTCTCCCAGTTCCAACTTCCTGCTGAGGCAGCGCCTGGCGGGCAGCTGGTGATGACTCAAGTAGCTGGGTCTTTGCCAGCCACATGGGAGACCCAGATGGAGCTCCAGGCTCCTGACTGCCGTGGCCCTCTCCTGGCTGTTGTGAATCAATGAATGAAAGACACGTATCTCCCCACTTCTTTCTTTTTCTCTTTCTGCCTCTGTGTGTATGTCTCTCTTTGTCCTTGGTCCTTTACCTTTCAAATAAATAAATTTTAAAAAATAAATCTAAAATGCTTTAAAATGCGCCCCAAATATCACACATATTAGCATGTTACCCAACTTCCTCACCTATGAAAGGAAGAATTTCGGCTCAATATTTATTGAGTTCACGTAAGGGACCATGAAGGGCACTGCTCTGATGAACGTATGGTTTCTTCACCTGCAAAAGGTGACAAATATCAGAGGTGAAATGCAGAGCAAGTCGGGGCTAATTCTGTTCTGGGAGAGTGACAGTAAAATGATCCACACAGAAAGTGATGACTTAGCAGGTTCTGCAGGCGAAGACGAGCGTGCAGGCCGACCACAGGAAGGTCATCGCAAGCACACAGGATTGAACAAGACTTCCGGAGTGCCGTGTGAGCAGAGGGCTAGCTCAGCAGCCCCGCATTTCTGGAACATCAGGTCCTAGGGCTAGAGAGTGATGAGATTTCAACCTAATCAGAGTAGCCTAGTAGAGGTCACATGATACAGCAACTTACATCATGCCAAGGAGATGGAATGTTATCCTGTGGGCAGTAGAGAGGCATTGAAAGGCTTGTGTTGGATTGCTATGGTAGTGGTAATGACAGGTAAACCGACAGGGAGAGAGCAGGGGAAGTTGACAGAAAAATGTTAGTTCTAAGGTGTCCAAGATGGGGATGATACGAGCATGGACTTGCCCCAGGAAATACAGTGATGTGAAGAATCGATGATCATGTGGTATGAAAAATCAGAGAGATACAAGGAAGAGAACTTGGAGAAGGAGAGCAAAGGAGTTGTCAAGATGAATGTCCAGCTTTCTAGCTGAGGCAGCTGGAAACATGAGCTTGCCCTTCCAGTGGTAAAGAATGGTTTAAGAGTTAAATGACTGAGGCAAAGATGGTAAACTCTACTTGGAATAGTTAAGTTTGGAGTGTCTATGTAATATCTAAGCAGAGATACTGAGTGGTCGTGCAGCATGTGAGTTAGGCACTCATAGGAGTAACCCAAGCTGGAGATGTAATTGTGGGAGTCTCCACTCAGTGACTGAAGCCAGGACAGAGGACGGGGAGAGAACCTGAGAGGGAAAGGATGTAAAGGGGGGTTGGGGCTTTGGTATTTACTACTGCATAACAAGAGGAGGACATGTTGGTAAAAGAGGCCAAAAAG